CGGGCCGGACTGGGCGCTCACACCCGCCCCAGCACTCGCTGTCCTCCGAGCCCGAGGTGCGCGCCTTCGACCCCGAGGCCGCCGCCGTGCAGCCCTACCAGGACCAGACCTACCAGTCGGTGTACTTCGTGTCCGAGAGCTTCGGCGACGCCAAGGACAAGCTCAGGTGGGCCCGCGCCTGGCCCGCGCTGGGGCTGCCCCCGCAGGTCCCCCGGGGCCTGGGGCGGGGGCCAGGGACAGCCCTGGCGAGCTCCTGGCGGGCACCCCTTCCCCGGAGAGCAGCCCCGAGTGCACCTTGGGGTCTGGGCAGGTGCCGCTGTCACAGAGGCTGCGAGCCGGCCTGGGAGGAGAGGTGGCCCCACAGGCTGGCCCGGGCACAGGGACGGGGCTGGCTCCCCAGGGTACAGCCCGGAGGCCTTCCTGGAGGAGTGGGCCTGGCTGAGCCGGGCCTGGGCAGGGGGCAGGGAGGGCTGGCGTCCTGCTGGGGCCGGGGCCCTGGCCGCCCCACCCCGCCTCCGTCTCCCTCTCTGGCCGGTGGCTGGACAGGCGTGTGGCGGTGCGGGAGGCTCAGAGAGGCCCGGGAGCCTGCCCCGCTCTGCCCGCGCCCCGCTCTGCCCGCGCCCCGCCCACCGAGGGCACCACCCTCTCCCCAGGAGCTACGCCGCCCGCATCCAGCGCCCCTTCGCCGTCAAGTTTGACCCGTACACGCGGGCCATCGACGTGCTGGACACTCCGCGAGCCATCCAGCGCTCCCTGGAGGGCGTGCAGGACGAGCTGCATGCCCTGGCCCACGCGCTGAGCGCCATCAGCTAGCCCCACCCCGCCGCCGCCCGCGGGGCCTGCGGACACCCCGCCCGGCTGCTAAGCCCGCCCGCGGAGCCCACGCTGCGTGTGCTGCCCCGTCCACCCCCCCCCCGTCCAGCCACTGCACGCTGCCCGCTGCCCGCTGGCCACCTCAATAAAAGCGAGTGCCCAGCACCAGCCCCCGCGTCCGTGTGCTGACTGAGCTGCCCCCACCACCGTCCTCCCCTCCGGAGCCTCCTCAGCGGACGGCTGGCCACAGGCGCCCGGCCAGGCTCCCTGCTCCCCAAGCCCGGCCTGAGCCAGCCCTGCAGCTCTGGGGTGGGGCACCCCTCCCTGGGGCGGCGGGGAGACCCTGCCCAGGATGGGAGGTGGGGGCTGCGGCCGGGGCCCTGGCCTGCGGGGCCCTGGTGGGAGGAGGGTGGGGCCGCGGTGCTGGCCTGGGCGGAGCAGGCGGCGGGGTGCGGGGCTCGGCTGCTCTGACCCCTGCACCCCCCCACAGCCCGGGCCCGAAATGCGCTGGGCAGCCCCGCTGGGCCTCCCCAGGGACGCGGCCCCGGCGGGTGGGGCTGGCGCCCGGAGACAGCGGCTGAGGCGGACTCCGGGGGGTCCCAGCGTCCACCCCCAGCACCCCGGGGGCGGGCCTGACTCAGCAGTGGGGTCGTGGTCCAGGGTACTCCTCGGCGCAGCCACGCCCCGACCTCCCTCGCGACCCCCACCCCGCTCCGGTGCCCTCCTCGCCCCTGGGACTCCCGGCTGCCACCCCATCTCCCGCCCACCTGTAGGCCTGTGGGCACTGCCCCTCTCCCGGCCTCCTGCCCTGCACCCCCATCCAGGGGGTCTCCACACCTCCCTGGCTGCGGCGGGGGGAGGGCCCACAGTATCGCCCGCGCTTGCCTTGAGGGCACAGGCCTCAGTGCTCAGGGGCAGGGTGGGGCGGGGACCCTTGGGGACGTTAGTGTGGTCAGGATGCCGCGGGCTGGGCCCAGAGGCCTCTGGGAAGGGTGGGGGCCCAGAGGCCAGCCCCGGGGAGGGGTGGAGGCTGGGGTGCCCGGGAGGTCTCGGCCGGAGCCTGAGGCCCTGCCAGGGAGACTCTGCTGCCCCCACTTGAAGCTGAGAAATGGGGTGGCTGGCACCTGGCACTGTCTGAGCCCAGGAGAGCTGGGGGTGGGCCGGCCTTGGCCCATCCGAGGGGCCCCCAGACAGACCAGCCCCTCCCTGCCCAGCTCCCCCGGACTAATGTGGAAACAGAGGCGGGGGTTCTGCCCCCCGCTGCGCCCCTGGGGCCGTGGTGGCCTTGCTGACGCCAAGGCCGTGGTCCTGCCGGCCCAGCACCGGGAAATGATCCGGAAACTGCAGCCTCAGCCCCGCCATCTGCCACCTGGCCCCTGGGCCG